TTAACCACCATGCCACTGACATGCTATCAAACTGACCTAATTCTTTTGAAGTTCGCTTACTTGCCTCTGGATATCTTTCACAAGGAGGTTTAATTTACAGAACTCAGAGTTCTCCAACAGAACATCTTTCACCTGTATCACAAGAGTGAGATCTGCACTTTGTGAGCTAGTAGTTAATACTGTATGACAGGGCGGTAAAGCAGTTATAACCGAATTTGAGCCACTATCTAAAACAATTGTGTTTTTTTTAGAGATTCGGACCATAATTTCAAGAATTATATGACAATAAGCAGTAAATGAATATATCAGAGCAAACACGTGCAAAAATGGAAAATAGATTTAGGCAGATTTTGATTGGCTGTTGGATAGCTGGCTTCCTATTGGTCTAAAATATAAGTTAAAGCAGCAATCTTTTTATTTTTTACACGGAAATTGAGAGGAAGACTGAAGTCTACTGTTATGTACTCGTCGCTAAATTATTGTTATGGACTGGTCGAGAAACTAATAGTCCTGACGCGAGAAGGCGAAAATCAGAAGACCACTAGGTTTGCGATGATACTTCTGTTGTCCAAACACAAGGAGACGAAAATAAATGGTCTCACACCAAAGTGATAAGTAAGTAAAGTAAAGTCACAAGATTGTGAGAGCGAAATATATATGAATGTTCCAGACAAAGCGTGGGAAAAATCATTAGACAGTCTTAACATGAATGGCTAATTATAATGGAGTGTCGATCCAAATATACATAGCGAAATATAACAGACATGTCAACAACCACCATATATGGATATATGTCACCAAGCAACGGACTGTCAACAACACTCATATTATATATAATATAATATAAGGAGAATACACATTATTAAAGGAGACAAGTTCATACAAGTGAAGTGGTCACAGACTAACCGAGCAAACAGAAAGAGAGACCAACATACACACACATAAATATATATGTGGATACATATCATCTACCCTACCCTTACAAGGTATCATTCTGAAAGTTTAGATTTATGTGCAACTCAGGTGGCCGAAATTCGAAACATGATGAAAAATTCAGCACCATTTTGTTTTCAAAACTTTCAGTCACACAAAATAACTTACATCCAGTTTAAACAATTAAGTGTGTATGTTAGGTAGTAGTTTCAAGCATGAAATAAGTAAGTTGTTAGCTGGCTGGAGGCAATCAATGGGATGGGGGGGGGAAAGCCTTGAACGTAGGTCTCGTGTTTGTTGGCACTCATCAGTCAGCAAGGCGTGCGTGTACCTGCAATCTTGAAGGAATTCATGTCCCTTTGTGGAATTTGAACCCAGGTTACGTATGTACGTTATCGCTGAGTTATTCAGGTTTACTGACAAGTACCAGAAAGCATGAATCTGTAGGTTCAAAGCTTCCTGCCAATTACCTCCTACTATTTAACGCCAATTCAGAGTGCAACATAGTGGTCGTATTGAAAACTTGATTGATAAAAGTTCAGTATTCACTAAACGAAGGACTAGATGCACATGGCATAAGTGACACTAGTATCCAATCAAAAACAATAATTGTATTAGCTTGAAAATTCCCATTGAGTTATATGAAAAAGGGAAGACGTTCAGCGAAGAGACTCTTTTCGATGGCCAATTCATTCACATAGCTATACAATTGCATTTATATATAATTATTTAATGCATAATTTTGGAAAAATGAAGAGCAATTAAGGAATAAGCGTGTGCACAGGTTGATTACGTAACAGATTGTTAAAGAAAGTAAAACAATTTGGACAATGATAATTTGTAACTAAAGTTGAAGTGGTCATAAGAATAAAATAATTTTTACAAGGATAACACGTAATTAAAGATGAAGTAGTCAGAAAAATAAAATAATTTGGACAATTATAGTTTTTAAAAAGAAAAATTATTCTAGGGGGAGGGTGATGGAGTAGTCCGTTTTATACAGTCATGTAACGATGGCCAAGGTAAGGAAAGTGGCTGTACAAATTTCTTCTGAACACACAAGTTTGGCTTCTTCAGGTGGATTCCTATTGCTTCAGCTGTATGTAGAAGACGAACTCGTAAAGCTAAATTAAGATTAGTAGGAATGCGATAAATAATTTTAAATGCAGTGTTAACGTCAACCTTATGCTCACTATCTACAAGGTGGACTAAAATAGAGCTACGAATAGATCTTGTTTGTCCCTTGCTTAACCATGCCGGATGATGTTCGGAAATACGATGATGAACCTGCCTAATTGTTCGCCCGATGTAGCTGCAGTCAAACTGGTAGATACACATAGAAGAGGCGAATTTAGGTAGTTTATCCTTATTACTCGAACGTAGGATAGGTGTGGTTGTGAAGAGACAGCGTACCTCTGCTGCATAATAAGCTCTTTTAACTGCATTCTTCAGTCGTTGTGTTATTATTTCGCTGATGTTGTCACCGAGGAACTGAAGTTTTATGAACAGTGGCTTTTTCGGAACTGTTGCCATAGTGACTGTCCTAGGTGATGAATTCATATTTTTCTCGATAAACTTATCCGGATAACCATTTTTTCTAAGCAATTCTCTAGTAATCTTGGGCTCCTCACAGATTAACCTAACTCTATGAACCAGACACTTTGCCAGGTTGCGTTTATATTTCAAAGGTACAAAACTCAAAAAATAAGTGTACTGACCTGTTGTAGTAGGTTTCCTGTACACACTCCTACTTAGTGTGCCATCTTCTTTCCTTGCCATGAAGACGTCTAGGAATGAGATACTGTCATTACTTTCTTTCTCTATAGTAAAGTTTATTGCTGAATGGGCATCATTAAACTTGTCAAGGATGTTCATTGCGTCGTCCTCGTTTTTTATGACCAGAAATGTATCATCCATGTATCGACAGTAGAAATCCAAGTCACTAACTACTCCTTTCAGTGGTTCATTCTCTAACTTAGCGAGGAAAAAATCAGCTAGGATTGGGCCTAATGGGGAACCCATAACTACACCATCAATTTGTCTGTAATATTCCTTATTGAATAAGAAATGAACGTTCATTGTACATCTTAAAATAAGTTCCTTCAAGGTGGATACAGAAATGCCGATGTCTATGTTTCGTGTAGTAATCTCCTCACATATAAAATCCACTGTCTCCATTAACGGTACGTTGGTGAACAAGGAGGATACATCAAAAGATATCATACATGAGGTTTGTCAAGTTTAGATAATTGATCAGGTAATAAAAGAATGATCTAATGTAGAAACAAGGTTAATTAGACAGCAACTAAAGTAAGATTGAGTTAGTTAGTAAGTTAGATGACGCATTATAATTGACTAAAACGTTTCAACTTAGGTCAGGGTAACAACAGAGGTAATTACAGGTAGAGACTAAGTAGAGGTGGGGTAGATAATAATGCCATTTAAATTAGAACTGAAGTTGAGCAAATATGTTGGATGACGTAACACAAACGACTAAAAATTGAGCGTTGGTCAAGTCAGTAACAGTGGTAGTGAGGTGTAGAAATTAAATCAGGTGGGGGTAGAGAACAAGAAAGTTGAAAAAGCAAAATATTACAATTGAGAAAACAAAATAATACTAATGAAGAGACAGGAAAGTAAACAGATTAGGTAGAATTTACTTGTCGGGTAATAAGATAAAGTCCATTGCAAGTGCAGTGATTGAACAAACTTCTTCTGTATGCAGGGTTAAGGGCCTAGCAAGTGAATCGCCACTACTTCTTCAGTTTTGGGGAAGTTTGACTCGTAACACTTTTAGGAAGACTACTTCTTACTCTGTAGATGACTTTGAAGTTTGTTTGGGGTGCAGCTTGGTGTCCGGATTCTATCATATGTTCTAAGATGGAGCTACGGGGACATCGTTTTTCTCCTTTATAAAACCATGTTAGTGAGTGTTCGGTGATGCGCTTGGAAAGCGAACGCTGTGTACGGCCGACATACCTGGCTCCACACGAGCAGGTGAATTGATAAATACACATTGATGAGGCCAGCGTCGGTAGCTTATCCTTCACGTTCACATGAATCATAGGTTTTGTGGAGAAAGTTAGTCGTAGTTCAGCTGGGAAGAAGGTCTTCTTTAGTGAGCGCGACAGTCGATTTTTTAGTGTTTCCGCAGATATATCTCCATTGAATTGAAGGTTCATGTAGAGTGGTTTCTTCGGGACGCTAAGCATGGGCGGCTTTTGTGGTCTAGGATTCATAGATTTTGCAATAAATCGTTCTGGGTAACAATTCTCGACGAGGATTCTCTTGAGATTGTCCAGTTCATCTCTTACGGTGTCCGGGGTACAAATTCTGCGAACTCTGTAGCTGAGTGCACGGATCAGGGTTCGTTTGGTGTAAAGGGGTACCCAACTGTGGAAGGTAATAAGCTATCCGTTCCATGTTGACTTTCTGTAGATAGATCTTTTCAGTGTTCCATCCTGTTCTCGTCTTGTTATTTGGACGTCAAGAAAAGGATATTTTAGAGTTGGACTCTTTCTCCAGCGTGAACTGAATCGCGGGGTGGCAGTTGTTAAACGACTTCAGGATGTCATTTAGACTTTCTTCATTGTTGACGATAATGAGTGTCGTCGACGTAACTCTTATAGATTTCGAAGGTATCGATCATTTTCTTCAGGCATGTGTTTTTGAGTTTTGCCATGAAGAAATCTGCAAGCAATGGGCCTAGTGGTGAGCCTATAGCTATAGCATCCTTTTGGCGATATATTTCGTTGTTGAAAGGGAATTGTACATTCAGGGTACACTTCAGCAGGAGTTCTTTAAGACGCTTGGTGGGTATATCGATGTTTATTCCTTTGGAATGAATAAGTTCGCATATATAGCATATTGTTTCAGTCAGTCGAACATTTGTGAATAGTGATGTGACATCTAATGAGATCATAGTCTTGTTGGATACGTTGATGTTTTCAATCGAGTTAATAATTGTATTGTTAACAGTGAATGCAGTCATACAAATATCATTTCTCAAATTATATTCTTCTACTCGCTTCTTGCTTTCTTTCTTGCCTTCTCTTTTCCCTTAACAGATACTTGTCAATGAAATAGAAATGGATTCTGGTCAATTACAACCAAAAGGATTATTAAATTTTCAGGCATTAAGTTCTGTAGCAATTCATCAACGTTTATCATATGATTTCCAATTTTATACACAAGAATGGGATACTGATGTACGCGTACTTATCCTATCACTTGTTCCATCATTGATTAAGGTAAGTTCTTCGTGTTACTGTGTGAAGCCCTACACGTGCTGCTCAGAACTCTAAGAATCCATAGCGAAGTGTTTTTCTTTAATATATTGCTGCTTTGCTACATCAATGCTGATATACGTAGGTTTTAATCAGTGAGTTAGTCTTGTTTACGTATTTTTCTTTATGGATGAAAGGATTTCTCATTTACAAGGCTTTGGGGGCACACCTTTATCAGATAGGCACTGATGACACTACTTATTTGCTTAGACTGTAGTAGGTTAAAGCAGGGTTCGAACTCAAGACCCATCGGGCTGTAAGTCTAATGCCTAAGCTAATGAGCTCTATCTTTTAACCTTGTCTACATATCTTGATCCGTGGCTGACATTAGTTAGAGAACCGTTGCAGGGCTAGGCAGTACTGAACAACTGTGTTTAATCCTAGTTTGGGACTCCTCAACAGTGCGCGCCCACTGAATTTCGAACCCATGCCCTTCCAGTTACAAGGTGAGCTCACCGAGCATCCAGACACCGGGACCTGATCCAGTGATTCATATATTACAACTTCTGTCTATTCGCGATATACATAGCGCAATCTCCAGGCAATGTCATCGACAGAGGCAACTGTCCTCTTACTTGGCTTGTGTATATCCCTAGTGTTTCATGTTGTTATTCAACTTTTTGCAGAGATTATAACACCACAACTTACTGGATTCTTGAGCAATTTTTTTCATCAGGAACGGATTTCAGCTAACAATAGACCTAGTTTTGTATATACATGATATCCTATGTTGGATTAGATGAAATATACTAAGCAATATCATTGTAAACTATCTTCACTCATATCATTAATCAACTCCAATGACTTATTTTTATCCTCTTGATACGATCAGTCAGTGACTGAGTAGATTAGTGTTTATTTTATTTAAACGCAGAAAAAAACTTGGTACAATATGGCACCAAGAAAGATGCGCCACACAATAATAATAAAACAACATAGATTAAAAGTAAAAAATATAAGTAGAGAGCGGATAAAGAACTTCATCTGGAATGAAAACAGTCATACCAAACAAGCTCAAACAGTATTCGTCAACTATCATCGGGAAGGGAAGAAAGAAGGGAATTGCAACATGTTCGCCATTGATGACTGCGATTCTTGGCCATATCCGATAATGTCTCGAGCTATCTCGTGGACCCCAACCAGGGTGTCGTGACGCACCAACCGATGCTAATCTAGAACAAAAATCCTTCATCCCACGACGCCACATCATGGATTGACCACCTCTCCTCCTTTTCCATCCCGTCTCAGGGCTAGCGAACAGAGACCTTTATGGGAGCCTCTAAGATGACATTCGCAGCACATGTCCAAGCCACCGAAGTCGGTGTTTCCAGATGACAACACTCAGTGAATGGTGATATCCATTGCGTTCGAACACACCTCACCAAACCTCATAATCGCTCACGCGATGATGCCATCGAACTCAAGCAATCCTGAGGAGACAGCGATGATGAAACACGCAGAGCCATCGCACATCCTCAGCTCAGAGAAGCCAAGTTTCACAGCTGTAGAGCGAACCAGCGAACAATTAAGCATTGTAAACCTGACCTTTGACAGCCAGGCTAACGTTGTGACGGCGCCAGAGGTGGTTCTGGTTGATGTATGCCACCTTAGCTTTCATTGCATGGTTGGAAATCTCATCCGTCACCCCTCCGCCAGAACTCACACAACTACCCAGATACACAAACTTATCGACGACTTCAACCGGTTCACCCGGAAGAGTGAGTGCAGGTACAGTCTCCTGCCAATCTTGTAACAGTAAATTGCACTTAGACGGCGCAAAGTACATACCATGCGTACAGAAATTGACATTGATTAGTGTTATGAGCAACAATTCGCCCCGTCCCCCTTGCCTTACGTTTGTGTATAGAGACTAACTGTCTTCAACTACAGGTGTTCGAATTCCGTCTGTTGAGTTCAGTGGTATAATTCGGTGAGTAATGTTGAGATTAAGTATAGAGTAGCTAGGTAAACAGGGAAATCTAGTCGATGAGACCGTTAAGGTGTATCGATTGGAATGACTAAGACGCGTGTTATACGACTGTTGAGCTATTGTCTTTCATGTCAGGCAATGTTAGCTGACACAAGATGATTATGTTGGAGAAGAGTTATGGTTGGTCAAACTAAACTAAAACATAACATCAGTCCATGAAGTCCCTGTCTGTTGGTTGCAGGAAGGTGTTGACTACCTGATTGTGTGAAGTCCTTGAAAAGCTAAGAACCATTATAGTTGGAGATTGTTGGTCATATACCTCAGATGTATTCACTCAATGTGATCCTCCTGATTCCCAATAATCTTCACTAAAATGTTATGTAGTTGTTAAAATGACTTTTAAAGTCTCACCCATGGATAAGTCACGTGTCTCTAGGGGATCTAGGAGGGTGGGGGCGACCTTTCCTGGCAACGTAATTATAAAACCTTTTTACAGCTAGTTAATGTGTTAAGAGTGGCTATATCCTCTGATTGCGAATAGCACAATAAAGGAACATATTATTGCGCAATATGTTGCCTTACTTTTACGTTAATCATTTTGCTTCAGTTAACCTAAAATACCCTGTGTTTATGGTTTCCTTCATTCCGTTTTTTTCCTACGCTAGTCTGTTTTATCGTTACCATGGCAACCACAAACATTGAATGCTGATGACAACATATGTCTATTGGAAACTAACATCTCTGAAAGTGAATGGAATGATATGCGAAAATATTTGACAATATTAGCTTGCAGTAATATAACTTATTCAATGGATGCAGAACTACAAGAGGTATGTTTACACGGATAACTGATTTCTGTATTGTATTCAAGTGGGATATAGGACTCTCAAGTCTTAAAATTTCAGTAGTAGTTGTGTTATTTTGTTCTATGGATTAGGGTAGCTAACTCCATCACACCCAACCATCCCTTGACCCTGCTAGCAGCTGGTAAATAAAGCGAGGTTTAGGAGTGCATGATTGAGTCGTCGAAACCTGACCCTCCTCCAATGGATGTATTATCATTATTATTGTCCCCTTCGGTTCCTAGTGGAACGAACATAGGGCTTCAACTTCACGTCTCCACTTGCCACTTCTGTCTTCTGCTGTGCTTTTCACCTGCATCCATGTTAGTTAGTCCATACTGTTTTAACTCCTCTTCACACGATCTCCTTCATGTCACCCTTGCACTGACGTCCCACTCGCCGCTTCCCCTTCGGCCTGGTTCCACTCGAGCAATGGCCCGACGCGCGCGCGATGTCACCCAGTGGCCTCCTCATCGAGTGTCCAATCCATCTCAATTTACTTTCTCCTGCATATTTGCTGTTGTTGGGCGATTGGTTCTTGTTTCGTTTGTTCCTTCCCATAGTTTCTTGTTGGTGATTCTTTCCGGCCAGCCGGCCATCTGATTGATCTTCAGTAAAGAGCGAAGACATTTAGTTGTTGATAAAGGTCTGCAACAGGCTGTTGGAAATATTCTTGGTGACCCACCCCCCAAGTTTCTGATCCGTATGGAAGAGCTGACTGACTTGACGTTGTTTGTATTGAAAATCCGACCGAATTTTGTTGTTGATGCAGAGTTGAGTGACGAAGATTTCCAGATTGGTTTCAGTTGGTTGATGAATGTGTTTCTTGCTCGCCTTCCCGATCCTCGCTGAATTTGACATCGTCGTCCGTTCCGACTGCGTGTAGTTGAGACAATGTTCCCTAGATGATAAGTGAATGAAGTAACCTCTTTCAAATTCCCCCATTGTTGATGGTGATTGACGCTGAATGTTGTTGTTGGTTGGTTGGTTATTTTCATAACCTCCGTCTTGTCTATGTTCATCTGGAGTCCTGTCTTCTCCGGCTGTTTCTTCGACCAGTTTGTCGGTCGGTTTTCGCTGGTAAGTCTTCGATTTTGTGTGATATCAAACATATATCATCCACGCGCGAAATCCAGGTTTTCTAGGTTCTTCACGTCGGTCGGTCCAGGATATCCCTGTCTTCTCGTTTCCCACTCACTGTCTGACGCATTATCCAGCTACACTGACTGTGGCTGGCGATAATTTTGCTCTGGAAGCCATCAACGCACTAAAAGCAAGGAAAGCTTCATAATTTTGGGTGTCATCCTTGCGCTTATAAACCGTGCTAGTCTCTGTGTCGTTCCAATTTTAGTCTGTGTACCACTTAAGCAAGTTTGGTGGTGCAATTTAGTCACCTGTTTTTAACATTTGGATTTAGATAACAGGATTGCTTAAATGCTGCCGTGTTCCCTCTGTCACTAACATTGAAGGTCATGTTGTTTTCTGTTATTTCTATTGTCTAAAACAGACATGTTGTTTCACACCTACCACTTAGATGTTTTTGAAGATTATTAAAAGCTCTATTGTTCCCTTGGATTCCGAGTAGAAAATAGTATTTCAGCAGCACACTTCCATTTCACTCTGTTCTCTGTGGTATTTTTTAGTTGGTTCCAGAATTCCCTGTAAGCTTTCATTTCTTCGCCCACGTCACACTTGAACCCACACGCTCGGCTTGTCTTTCCTCATTTGCTTCCCATTTATAGGCTACATCTGGCATGTACTATAACTCAATGGTCTCCTCAGCATATGTCCAGTTCCATCTCCAATTGCTTCTACATATTTGTTGGATGAAAGGTTCTTGGTTTTTTTCGTGATCAGACTTTCCTGTCCGCGTGCCGTCATCATCGCCAATGATTTTCCTGATTGCAGTAGATTGGATAATGCGACAGACAGCGGCAGGCGATGACGAAACAGGCATAAAATGGACTCACAAAAAATTTCGAGGATCTGGACTTCGCCGATGCGATATATGTCTGATTTCCCACAAACTGGAAGATATGCAAGTGAAAAGCAACAAGTTGGCAGAAGAAGCATCCAAGATAGGACTACAGGTGAACACAGAGAAAACAGAGGTGATGAAGATTCCTGGACAACAGCAACACCAACAACAACAGACAACAATCAGCCAGCATAAATGGGAGGAACCTGAAAGAAACAACTTCCTTTACCTACCTGAGAAGCATCGTTTCAACTACAGGCGGAACTGACGAGGATATCAAATCCAGAATCCGAAAAGCAAGACAAGCTTTCATTACCCTTAAGTCTGTGTGAAGATCAACAGCACTCAACATGAAGAATAAGATCGGGATTTCCATCTCCAATGTGAAGTCAGTGCTACTATATGGATCAGAAACTTGCACTGCGCGTCATAAAGAGCACCTCAGACAAACCACAGACCTTCATTAACAGCTACCTTCGCTCAAGATCAAGATCAGATGGCCAGAAAAAATCAGCAACAGGAATCTCTGGCAGTGAGCGAACCAACCCAGTGGGAACCGATTGTGTAACAAATAAGCAGGAAGAAATGGAGATGGATTGGCTGGACATACTCTGAGGAAACAATGCACCAAGTGACATCACTAGACAAGCCATTGCTCGAGTGGAACCCGATTGAAAGGGAGGCGGCGAGTTGGTCGTCACTGCAAGGGTGACTTGGAGAAGGTCATGTGAAGAGGAGATGAAAGCATCTGGGCAGACTTAGAACCAGATGAAAAGTGTAGCAGAGAACCGAACGCGATAGAGGCACGCGGCTGAAGCCCTATGTTCCTCTAGGAATTAAAGGAAATAATAATAATGCCATCATCTAATCTTCGATATGAAGTGAAGGAAAAAGTAGGAGGCAGATGTTGGTGAAGTTCTGCAAAACGCTGTTGGAGATGGTTTTGATGACGCGCACTGATTAATTTCTGAAGTAACATAGAAATACGGAGTTGACATTAGTCGTGTTGTTTTTTATTCTGAGTCCAGTAGATTTTCACATTAATTTCAGAGTAATGAGAGTCCTTCTTGCTTTTCCGATCCTGACTAACTTTGATATGCTCATATGTATCGCGCGTAGTCGAAAGGGTAGCTGAAAAAGAGGTGACTACCTTTCAAATTCTTCTTTTGATCGTGATTGGTGTTTGTTGGCTAGATACCACTGGAGGTGAAGATCTGTCTTCAGATTTAGGTGATGCATAACTTAGTGAGTAATATCGAGATTAGTTAAGTAAGGAAAAATCAATCAATGAAGTTCGGGAAGCTACATCGAGTCAGATGATTAGGTCACATGTTACGTATGCGTCGTCATCCTCGACGGACAATGTTATGAGCAGTAATAGTTTGTGCTTGAAACGTGGTCATCAGTTAATATTACTGTATAACAACACTGTGTGATTTATCGAAATAAAATTTTATCCATCTATAATGGAGTTATACTCTACCAGAATACCCAAGTTTTATACTTATATCAATGTTAACTGATGTATAATCAGGTTGGAAAAGAGTTTAGAGGTTGTCAGACCAAAACATGCCTTCATCAGTCAATGAAATCCATAACAGTTAATCTAAGCCAGTCACATAGAGGGAGGTGTAGACTGCTGTCTGGTCGGGGTCCTCGGGATGGTGAAAACCAATGGAGGCTAGAGACAATTGATGATATGGCTGAAAATCGGTCTCAGTAATGGCTGACGCAGGAGCATACACTCCTTGTGACTTATAATTTCCAATGAAACTATATTGTTCTTCGATATTACTATTCCTTTTCTGCATATCCGTGTTTACTGTCTCTATTTTGCATTTCTTCTACTTTCTTCTCTTGCTTTGTGTGCTACATGGAGAGACAGTCGTCTTAAAATAATTTGTAATTATATTGACTTGTCTGTGTGTAATTAGCGTTTGTTTTTTGTTAAATTTTTCAGCGTATTAATCAGGATTTTGTTCAATGGCGAAGAGATAAATCAACATTCATTGAATCGGATGAATTTGCTGTTATGCTCTGCTTACTCAGGTATGATAATTAATAAAATTGAATTTTATTTTCAAGTATTGACTTTTTATTTTCATCTGATGTTCACACTAGCAACTCGCTTCCAGTGGGAAGTCGTGACCAGTAGGGTACAGCAGGTTGGAGGTGAGTCAGTAACTTATTGAAGAAGGCATTGCGAAGTGTTCGCGCTATGTCATGAATTAATTGGCAGAAGTTAGAATTCATGGACCGTTGGGTCGGGTCCCAGTGGCTGATGAATGGTCTACGAGCTCACTCGCCTTATAACCGGAAGGCTGAGGTTTCGAACCCTGGCGGTGAGTGCCTACTTCTGAGACGTCAGTCCCAAACTAGGATGGAACAGCTGTCTAGTACTCCCAGCTGGTTTTCTAATTGTTCTCCAACTGATTTCAGCTCATGATAAAATCCTCCAATCAATTGAATTTTATTTCATTTATTCCTATTTTGGTCTGTTTTGAAATTTAATCACACTTTTCATCACTGAACTTCATTCAATATTCTTTCTGTTCAAAGTGTAAGATCCAGAGATGTATGTTGTAGTATGGTTGGTTATAGGCCTTATCCAGATCTGAAATCAGTATAGCCGTCACCAATCAAAAAGATGGCCAATAGGGAAGAGAAACCAAAGAATAAAAATGTAAAATCTCCAAATATTAGTTTGTAGAAATTTAATTGGTTTCAAGCTTGTGAACATGGATTAATATTTCTCAGAGAACCAATGACGACTAGAGAGTACTGGATAGCCGATTCAAGCTCTTCGTTAGTATGTACACATGGCTGCCCCACCGAGCTCGTATTGACAATTCAGCCACTGGGATCTGATCCAATGGCCCATGAATTCTAACCTCTATCAATTCGTGATTTATACCACTCCTGTCGACGAATGTCATTGCTGAGTATTTCTGCTAATACTGAGCTTAGTGGATCCCATTGATCACAACTTCTCACTAGGACCCTAGACAGACTGATTGTTTAACCAATCAATAGTGAGCATCAGCATCACTACCCTTATATCGATCAGAAGTACAATGCTCAACACTGTCCTATTTACTCTTTTATTATTCTTAATAATGTTCCATCATCTTCCCGCTAAGTCGTGTCATCCTGGAGAGAATCAGAGATTCACTGGATGCAGAACTCCGCCTGCCAGAACAAGCTGGATTCAGGAAAGAGAAATCATGTGCTGATCAAATTGCAAATTTACGTATCATCATCATCATCAAAGAACAAGGCATAGAATGGTAGTCAAATGTGTCTACCTCAACTTCATCGACTTTGAAAAGGCCTTCGACAGGCAACCGTTGACCGAAAAGTACTTTGCAACTACTACAACACTACAGTGTACAATGCACAAGTCTTTATCAGCCTCATTCAACAGCTGCATGAAAATGCCACCCTACGAGGTGGTACAAAACAGAATAGTCAGTGAAGCCTCCTTTTGAAGTGAATCCAGGAGTAAGACAAGGCTGCCTATTCTCATCGATGATATAACTAATTGTGGTGGACTGTAGGAGTGAGGATACAGGTGTACGCTGGACTGCTGATAAAAAGACCCTAGAAGATATGGATTTCGTAGATGATATGTATATGTAATGTCACACAAATTCGAAGACTTACGGGCGAAAAACAACAAACTGGCTGAAGATGCAGGACTTTATATGAACATATATGGATAAGACGGAGGTGATGAAGATTATAAGCCAACCAACAGCAGTAACAAGAACAACCAGCATCAGTCACGTTGAACATAGAAATTCCTCCACTTATCTAGGAAGCATCGTTTGAACCACAGGAGAAATGAATAAACATGTCGAAGTCAGTCAGCCAGAATCGGAGAGGTAAGATACACCTTCATCAATCTGAAGTCAGTTTGGAAATCCTCTGCATTCTGCAGCATAAAGAAGAAAATCCATGTTTTTGACACAAATTTGAAGTCGATTCTTCTATATGGGTCATATAATAATATAGTCACTGCAGTGCATCTTTAACTGATTCCAAACGTTTATCAACAGCTAACTTCGCTCCATATATTGGAGATCAGTGGGCGGCATGAAAGAATTAACAACAAGAAGCTCTGAGAACGAATCAGCCAAGAACCGGTTGCATTCCTACTTTTCAAACAGAATGCAGTACACTGTATACAAAGGCAAATCCTCCTCTGCTTGCTGTGCTCACTGAAGCTGGTGTCCCCCAAGGTGCTGTACTCTCCCCACTTCTCTTTTCTTTCTTTCTACATGAACTACCATCTTTAAATGATATCAATTTTGTCAAATATGCTGATGACCTAACTGTATCTTTACCTGTCAAATGTCAAAAAGGACTGCTCTAAACTAAACGGCTTTTTATCAGAAATCAGCCAATGGTCCCAAGGAAAACGGTCTCACCTTAAACCCCTCCCCAAATGCCAAACAGTCAGTTTCAACCTTTAGGCACAAATCTGACCTAAACAAACTGGTTAGCACTCACGAGGTATGCAACATAGATGGCACTGAAATAGAAACCAAGTCAGAAATTCAATACCTAGGCGTCATTCTATCTGCTGATCTTTCCTTATTGGTCGTGTCATATCTTGATGATTTCTAAGAAAATATTCCGTTTTACCTTCTACATCATGAAGTTAAGACATGCTGGTATAACCCTACAATTCGTTAACTCTCGTATTCTGCCTATTATTCTCTATCGTTCCCCCTTAGTCTTTCCTGGGCTACTGAAGAAAGATTATACCTTATTACGCAGGATGTTAAAGGTTGTCATCAGGGTAAGCAACGTGTCACGTAACCAGCTTGTTAATATTCTGGTGGACAGGCACATGGACTCATGTGAAAAATGGGCTAAATCCATTTTAGACATTTAGAAAACAGAAAGATTGAGCGAAGAAATATTTACTTTTCAATTAGATCCTCATCTCTGACTCTACTCTAATATATATAGCATTTTAATTACAATACAACAGTTTGCCGATCAAGTCGCGATAAGTTAACAATAATTAGTCAGTGTCAAAATGTCAATGGGTTAATAATAATTATAATAAAATCAATACAGATTTAAAAGGTAGAAATGGATAGAACAAATTAATTTCCCAAGGATAACACGTAAATTAAAGATTGGCAAACTGTTGTATTGTAATTAAAGTGCTGTATATATATATATATATATATATATATATATATATATATATATATATATATATATATATATATATATATATATTAGAGTAGAGCCAGAGATGAGGATCTAATTGAAAAGTAAATATTTCTTGGCTTAATCTTTCTGTTTTCTTAATCCATTTAATCTAACTCACACCACCCTTTGCATTCACAACTCTCCCTTGTATCTCATCAGGCAGGCAGACCAGAAGCCTATATCGAAAACTATATGCTCGCACTAGTAAGTACAAAAACTCAACCATACCCTACCTACTTAGCTCGTGTTCTGTGCGATAAAGAAAGCATTAGACGTGATACCTACAACTTATTAAATAGTCAGTCGAACAACTGGATCTCGTCTTTCCAACTCATATCATTTTTAGGTACAACGTTCCCTTTCTTTCTTTTCCTTTTCTCTCTCTTTTTTCTGTTATGTGCTGCTTTGTTTCTTTCTTCTGCTTACGCCAGTAAGTATGCTAGAACCTACTTTTCTAACATCTTCAAACACTCTTTTCAATTTTTGGCTTTGCTACCGACATGCTAATATGTTGTTGTCGAAACTAACTGAGATTACCCTTAATCTATGTAGAATTTTATTTTATTTTTAATTTACTAACTGGATGCGCAATGCTGTAGTAAAATGCTAAGAATTCCATTCTGTATTCGCAAATACTTTTGGAATAAAGCTATTATTATTATTATTATTATTATTTTAACAAATATTCCAAAGAAAATGCAGATGGATCAGGCATACATTGGGGAGACCGTCAAATGACATTGTGGGTTAGGCCATCACTCGAGTGAAGCCCTACTGGGAAACAACGAGTCTAGCGTGAGTCCTAGGGTGACATGGAGAAGATTGTGCAAAGCGAAGATGTGACATGATGGACAATTGTGTAGGCCCAAACTAAAGAGGACGGCAGAAAATAGAATACACAATGGAAAGGTGCTATTTTGAAGCACAATGTTCCACTTAGAACCCAAAAGGAATAATATTAATAATCATCTTCCTGTTTTTATTTGTTTTTTAATTCAGGTTTTATTGTTTAACATATGGACATCAATCTCCAACTGTAGAGCATTGGTTACATATTGTTGATTTAGAAAAGAAACGTAAATCAAGAAATGCCGTGGCTTCAGGGAAATAATAAATTTTCATCTTTCAATGATTGATCATGATTATTATATTCAAAGTTGAAGAAAGATATAGAAAAAGGAAATGAGAGACAGATTTTATGTATTATTTGTTTGATTTTTGTATGAATAAATGCACCATATTTTATAAGGAGAAAGAATGATTACTGTTCATTTAACTGTTTGGAAGCTTTGTGCTTCTTCGGTGTTTTTAGAGGTAGAATACCGGCCCCAGTCACACACGCGCGCGCACACACACACGGTCCAGATTTGGTACCTTACAGACGCAGTTGTAAACCTCGCTTAGCTGATAATAAGCTTGGTTAAAAGGAAAGCTTAGGCATAAGAACAACAATCTCATCCCGTAAGAAGAGATATCACTACTACTGTGAAATTACATCGACTGAAATGGTAAGAACATGTGTTACGTACGCATGCCTAGCCATCGCCTTCCTCGACTGACGAGCACTGTTAGCTGATATAGGGTCAGGCTGGAAAAGAGCTAGCGGCGGTCAAACTAAAACATGGCTTCATCGGTCAATGAAATCCACAACAGTTAGTTTAAGCTAGCCAGTCACGTAGGGAGGTGTAGATTTCCTGACTGGTTGGGATCATCGGGACGGTAAAAACCAGCGACTGGCGACAATTGATGGTATGGCTCCAAATCGTTCTCAATGGCTACCGCAGATGCATCCACTGCTTGTGACTTATAACACCCAATGAAACTATATTGTTCTTTGTTATTACTATTCCTTTGTCTCACACCTCTGTTTACTGTCTCTATTATACATTTCTTCTCTTACTTTTTGTGTGCTACAAGGAGGGAGTGTGGCGAATTGAAATACCGCATATCGGTGCAAAGTTCTATGTCGAAAAGAGACAGACAGACATCACTGCTGCTGAAATTTAAAGTCTTATGTTTCACTCGAAACGCCAAAGAATGAATAAAAGGAACCGCTTAGAGATGAACGATTGGACTATTGACCACAGATGGTAAGGTAAACTTTGTATCCCTTGAATAGATGCTTCCACATGAAACACATCACCTTATGGGAGATTGAAAAGAAAAAGGTCGTTAGGAGGGGTGGTAGATTGCAATATCAGCACTAATCATCTATAGAAGGGAATCTAAGAGTCTACAAGAGTTTCACTGCCAGTCTGCAATATGTAATAACACAGTGAAATTGTTGATTTTCTCTTCTTAATTTGGACTGAATTGTTGAGTCTTGTTTTAGGCCGAGGTTTAGATGTTCCTTGTTTTTGGTGATCGCTGGTAGTGGAAAACACTATGCGTACTTCGTCCTATCTGAACATGTACCAGCTCCCTATAGTGACTGGTGGTATTTCCACTGAACACGATTCCAATGGTTATCATCACTTCAAATACTTGCGAAAAATGGAGCGGAACAATTCCGTTCAGATATATTTAATCAACATGAAGTCATGGTAAAATAACCCTCCTTTCTCAATAGATAGATCATGCTTTGGCGTTTGAAGCGATGAACACTGGTTGTTACTGGCAATGGGGGAACACTAACAATCATCAGAGGGAGAGAGCACCTGATGAGATCCAGGATACGACGGATGAACCGTGCGTACTGGATTCTTCTACAAGTTACCACCAAAAAAAAGTTAATTTTTGAGTAGACATCCAAAAACCTGACTTGATTGAAGCTATATTGGTCTTCTATGGTTTCTCTAGTCAATTTTTGTTTGTAATACAGACTACCCAAATATCTCTCAATAAGGCCTATCTTTAATGTAAGTTTGTAACAACAGAAGACAGGGGCCAGGCAACAGATCGTTTATTAAGGAAATCAACACATATTTGTGGATTTTCATGTACATTACTATAGATTATTGTTAGCAGAAAAACACAGTCTTCTGATTGGTTGTATCTCACTGAAAGTTAATCTTTCATCTCTTTGTGGCTGTTTCTTGAATATCAGATCGTATATATGCTAATTGCATCCGCCTACGCAAAGTCTGGTGTGGTTGGTTGGTTGTTGGATCAGTCTTTGTTCTTATTTTTCTCACGACCAATATTAGGGACATAAATATTGACGGAAATTACTGTCTATCAATTTTGGCTAGCAGCCAACTCTTACCACAAGTTTAATCGGAAGATTGATTGATATCTTCCCACCTTCAAGAAACATAAATGAAAGTTGTGAACACAGCAGTATTCTTCGTCGACAATTTAACTTTTAATCCCATATGTTGAAGTGGTCTCACTAATACAGTTATCATTTTGAGTAGCTTGAAAATCCCCATTGAGTCATATGAAAATGAGAAGACGTTTAGCGAAGAGACTCTTTTCGCCGGTGAATTCATTCACATAGCTGTACAATCGCATTTATATATAATTATTTGTGTGTGTGTGTGTACATGAGGTTTGTCAAGTTTAGATAATTGATCAGATAATAAAAGTCGTCTACAGAGTAAGAAGTAGTCTTCCTAAAGGTGTACGAATCAGACTTCTTCAAACTGCAGAAGCAATGGCGATCCACTTGCTAAGCCCTGAACTCTGCATACAGAAGACGTTTGTTCAATCACTACACTTGCAATGGACCTAATCTATCTTATACCCGTCAAGTAAATTCTACCTAATCTTTTTTTCTCTTGTGTCTCTTCATTAGTATTATTTTGTCTTCTCAACTGAAATATTTTGCATTTTCAACTTTCTTGTTCTCTACCCCCACCTGATTTAATTTCTACACCTCACTACCACTGTTACTGACTTGACCAACGCTCAATTTTTAGTCGTTTATGTTACGTCATCCAACACATTTGCTCAACTTCAGTTCCAATTTAAATGGCATTATTATCTACCCCACTTCTACTTAGTCTATAGATGTAATTACCTCTGTTGCCATCCTGACCTAAGTTAAACATTTTAGTCAATTATATTGCGTCATCTAACTTACTGACTAAATCAATCTTACTTTAGTTGCTGTCTGATTAACCTTGTTTCTATATCAGATCATTCTTTCATTATCTGATCAATTATCTAAACTTGACAAACCTCATGTACACACACACACAAAAAAAATTATATATATATATATATATATATATATATATATAAATGCGATTGTACAGCCCTATGTGAATGAATTGGCCGTCGAAAAGAGTCTCTTCGCTGAACGTCTTCTCTATTTCATAGTCATCATTTTAGCAAGGTTGATATGTATCCACATATATATATTTAAGTGTGTGTGTATGTTGGTCTCTCTTTCTGTTTGCTCTCTTAGTCTGTGACCATTTCACTTGTATGAACTTGTCTCCTTTAACAATGTATATTCTCCTTATATTATATATAATATAATATGAGTGTTTGTTGACAGTCCGTTGCTTGGTGACATATATCCATATATGGTGGTTGTTGACATGTCTGCTATATTTTGCTATGTATATTTGAATCGACACTCCATTATAATTAGCCATTCATGTTAAGACTGTCTATTGATTTGTTCACACACTTGTCTGGATGGTCATATATATATTCGCTCTCACAATTTGTGTGACTTACTTACTTTGGTGTGATACCACTTATTGCTTCTCCTTGTGTTTGGAAAATAGAAGTATCATCGCAAACCTAGTGGTCTTCTGATTTCCGCCTTCTTGCGTCAGGACTATTAAATTCTCGACCAGTACATAACAATAATTTAGCGACGAGTACATAACAATTTGGCGACGGGGAAAACTACTATTAACCACTCAGCAGCAGCAACATAACAATTTGCGACGGGAAAACTATGGATTATTCTAAATTGGAATTATTATTTGAACAACAAATGAAATTAATGGAAATGTTCGTCAACCAACAGACTGGTCCAGCTTCACCTTCAAGCAATCCGAACCATACCATCTGTCGACGGAATTGTGAATAGTATTTCACAGTTCAATTATAATCCAGATGCTAATGTCACTTTTGACACATGGTATCAACGTTATGAGGATTTATTCACTGTTGATCTCGCCTCACAAGACGATGCCTGGAAGGTGCGAGTGTTGTTACGTAAATTGGGTCCGGCAGAATATGAACGGTACTGCAACCTAATTTTACCCCAGAAACCACGTGACAAGTGTTTCGATGATACAATAAAGCTGCTGCGTGAACATTTTGGAGACCACTCCTCATTATTCAGCATACGTTATCGTTGCCTCAAGCTGACAATGAATGAAAATGATGATTTTCTTACTCACGTTGGCACAGTCAACCGAGAATGTGAGAGATTTCGACTCAGGTCCTTAACAGATGATCAATTCAAAGCCTTGATTCTCATATGCAGTCTTCAATCTCCTCGTTTCACAGATATCCGAACTCGACTGCTCAATCAGCTAGAACAAAATCCTAAGTTAACATTACATGACATAGCTGATGAATATCAACGGCTGATTAATTTGCAGAAAGACACACACCTGGTCGAATCAACACCTTCGAGAAGCTCTGATATTCATGCATTACGAAAGAGCAAAAATCTCTCATCATCCAGTCCTGACCCACCTTCTTCTAATGTTCCGCGGAAATCTACACATACTCGTCCAACTTCACAAAATACTGCAAAGAAGACCCCACCATCACCATGCTGGCATTGTGGCGCGTGGCACTTTGTAAAGTCTTGTCCGTACAAAAATCATCGTTGCAGCAAGTGCAAAATCATCGGTCATAAAAATGGTTTTTGTCAGCCACGCAAACCCAGATATCATAATCCAGCGAAAGCTCGACAAACTGTTGGTCCTAAATCTCCAAAAATCATTGAGTCTACGCGCAACCTGTCAAGTCACAACACCAGGTATGCGGAAATATCTTGATCTTCAGATGAATGGTCATGATACACGTCTGCAGCTAGATACCGCCTCTGATATTACTGTTATATCAGAGAAACTTTGGAATAATATTGGCAGACCACCTATCACAAATACTTCCCAGACTCTTGTCAGCGCCTGTGGTGGGCGGCTCAAACTAATTGGTGAACTCAAATGTTCTGTTTCCTTCCGCAATACCAAA